TGTGGGAGTTCGCACACGCGCGTGCCTGACCGAGCGAGCGGAGGAAATGCAGTCTTTTGCTCTCAGAGGCAAGTGGGCAAAATGGTGTGGAAGGCTTCACACCAAAGGTCGGTGGGGGGGGGCGGGCTTAGGCGGTGGCAGGCTTCTTCAGCGTCCCAAGGAGGCTCCTTGGTCGATGAACCCAGTAGATGTCCATTGATAAACAAAGTGCATGCTCGGCCCAAGGGTGACGACCCTCCCTAGGTCCTTGGCACACAACGGTCTGAGTCGCGTTTACCGAGAGACTGTGTCAGCATGGCGACCCACACCTATTTTTCTAATCTTTGAACTCAGGCTAGAGCCCTAACTCGGCTCCTTCACTCCACAGCTTGGCACCGGGACTCGGCCTAGCATCCTCTCGGGGACCGGCTTGCCAGCCCTGGCTTGAACTCCCTCAGCCAGGGGACGTGAACCGTGAACCCTGAACCCGCACCTCAGGTGCCTCACACCTACGTGTTTGGAATTTGCCTCTAGCGCAGGAAATTTTTAACCAGGTGTTTTGTTTTGTTTTGTTTTGGCTGGGGAGGTTAATTCTACCCACCGTTTTGCGGTTGTAAAAGGGAAGAGGCGGGAGCACTCCAGCCACTAACACCAAACAGGAATCCATGCAGACTCTAGGCCGCCGCCTCGGTGGGTGGACGCGTTAAAATTTAGCTCTCTGGCTCAGGAGATCTACGCCTCACCAGAACAAACGTCTCCTTCCTTCCAACACTAAGGAGGGCAAACAGCCTAGAGGCATGACGACATTGCTCCCCGGAGAGTCCTTTCCATCCCTGAGGCGACCCAGGATGCTGCCCTGCTGGAGCAAGCCGGTGGCGGTCGCCCAGATGACTGGGTTCAGGTGCCCAGAACTGCGGCCAGATGAGCCCGGCGAGCTAGCGACGGCGGATTTGGAACTAATGCGCCTATGCGTGCGAAGCGTGAGCGCAGCACGCTCCCAGAAAGAAGGGGAGGAGGCTCCGCGGGTCGAGTGGGGCCAAGTGACCTTTTCTCCACATCCAGGCAAAGTCCAGATCAGAGAGGCTGAACTTTGGGTTGTAAAAGAATAAGTGTATGGTGATCGGAATCCCGGAACAAAGTACTGAACTAGGTTTTAGAGCGGTGGCCTGGACGTGGTCACATTGCCTTGCCAAACTCCGCTCCAGCATAAACCTCCATCCTGCGTTCTGATAATTCATCTCTGCTATTTTTCGTGTCTGCTATCTTATCAAAGCTGGAGTGATTTCTGTCGTCTCTCCTTTCTACAAACTGCCAGAGGTACACACATACACTTTTTCGTGCTCCCACATCACATGCACAAGTGTATAGACAAGAATTTTACTCAAAGGCCAAGGTCAAGGATGAAGGGTATATTTATAATCAAGATGCAAAATCTGAAGATAGCCACTTAAGCTTCTTAGTATGTTATATCCAGATGTTCACTCTCTACCAGTGAAAAGAACAATTTGTCTAGGGAAATATTAAGGTCTTAGGACATATTAACATTTTTCCATATTAACATATCCTAGGCCTATCTTATTACCACATTTAGGCGTTGAGATTTCTGTGAAATCATTGTAATGTTAAAGCAGAAAAAAGATGTCTTTCAACTTAGATCCCATTGGACAGGAAACAAAAGATAGGAGGACCCTCAAAAAATAATGTCACATTTTAAAAATTACAGTAAATATTACTTCTCTGATCAGTATTTAGCAAAGTATTTTTATGCTAAAATAAAAGCTTTTCTGAGATAACTTTTCTTAGGCATCTGTCTGAATTGAGCCTGGAAATATCTAGAAATTAGCTTCAGTGATTATACATGCAAGAAAAAAAAAAAGAAAAAATATACCAACTTGAAAAATGAGAGTGCTGAATATGCTGAATATAAGCAAGGATTTTATATAGTTTCACTAAATATTCTGAATAAAATGTTTCATCCAGGTTTTAAAACTGTAACCTAAAGTATGACTTGAATGGGTTGCTGAGAAATGAATGTTTCTTATAATGTACACCACTACACAAATTTAGGCTTTATGCAAATTTTAGGCTTTGTACAAATTTTAGGCTTTAAAATAAAACATTTATTAAAAGTAGTGGTAGCTGCAAAGACAGTTCTGATTCTGTGCATTTTAAAGATGGAAATGAGTGAGAGTATTCCTTTCCAGGGCCGGGAACTTTTCACAGTTTTTTCTTTCCAGAAATTGAACTGGGAATGATGTATGAACATATCTCAGCAATTCTGGCCACAAGAACGCAACCAAAATGGAAGCTGAAGGTGAACATTGGTTAATAACTTCAGGTTGGAAGATGCTTTGATTCCTCAATCGATTGGTGGATTCATGGTGGACAGCCTGGAGAGACTAGGCCAGATCAGCTACCCCTGCAAAGGTGAGGGGCCTGAGGATGAGCTGGACCCAAAGGGCAAGTGCCTACGTATTTCCAGGACTCTAAAGGGAATCCCCTCAGTTCCTGGAGGGTTTCCCCTTCTTTGAGCCCCAGTTTTTCTTCTTCGCCAGAGGTGACACTGAATCCCTAAAGTACATATCAGAAGCGCCAAGCCCTGCACTCTTCAGGCAGAGTGGGTAAGGAGTTCTGGTGAGGTGGACCCCTTTAATTCATAAATACCCACTTCCAGAACAGGCCCTTCCTCAGGATCACCTAGGTCAGAGGTGTAGCCCAAGAGCAGAGAGCAGCTTTTAGATCCTGGCCCTCCATACCTAACCTGATTTAGAAATCAAATTCCCTGAAGGACATTTTACAAGGTGGGAGCTCCAGACACAGTAGGGGTGGGGTGAGTGGGAGTGAGCATGAGCTCCCTAGAGGCCCTGGAGGCCATTTCTGGTCGATGCTCGAGTCGGACTGGGACCTGCCTTCTACAACTTAACTGAGGTCTCCAACATGAGGGTCTTAAGTAGCTGCTGCCCACAATGGCTCTTGTAGTGTCACCCTAAGACCTTGGGTGGTATCACAGTGCTCATCTGACCCTGAGACCATGCGTCTCTGGGCTACCAAGCACATTCCTGGGTCCACCCTAGACCCATTATCTCTGGACTTGGATATCCTTA